CTGAAACCCTCCTTCTGTTTGGTGTTTGTGTCACTCAGCACTGTTTCTATGTGTCTCCATCTTGTGAAGTGTACATCTAGTCCCCTGCTTCTAACCACAGCAACCAGAGCCAAATGCCCACCACCCCACCACCCCCAGGCCATGCTGTGCTGAGCAGGCACACACAGCCTCTCCTTGTTCTGGGGGAGAACTGCTCCAGCATGTTTACTCAGGAGGGAAACTGTTGCGCCGCAGGTATAAAATATTTTATTTGAGGAAAAAATGCTGGCCAGCTTTCCAGAATGTCTGTGCCGGTCTCCCTTCTCACCTGCAGCAGGCAGGGAGGCTTGTTCCCTACCTTCTGCCAACACTTGGCATTATCCTCCTTTCTAAGGCTTCTTTCTCATAAGAAAAATAAATGTCACTTTGATTTGCATTTCTCTGGTGACTTAAGTTTGGGCATATTTTCACCGTTAACCCTCCAAGTTTCTTGTCATCTTTCTCTCACTGATTTGCAGGGCTTTCTCGTCATCTTAAACTGCTGTTCTCTAGTTTTAGTATTTCAGTTATCTTGTAGTTTGTCATGGACAAAATTACATTTGTGAAAGAATTAAAAGGCGAATCATGCCTTTCTATCAGAAATAGAGGCACGGGCCATGGTGGATTTGTTTAATAGAAATCCTTAATTTGCATCATTTATTCAAGTTCATAAATTTTAATCTTAAGATTTGTCCTGCTTAAGACCTCCATGCCACTTTGGACCAGGAAATTATTCTCCATGGTTTTTCTTACTAAGTAAATGTCAACTACCTTTCACTTCAAATTTTTTGGTCTATTTGGAGCTCACTTTTTCTAGGGACTCAGAAATCCACAGGATTTTTCTATTTTACTGGTTTTCTAACATCTTCCAAGTAGTCTTCATTGATATGCGGTACCATTTTTTTATCACATCACCTTCTCTAGACTCAGCGCTGAGCTCTGGAGCTTTCGTCTGGGTCTTTGTCACTACGCCCTTCTGGCTGCTAAGGCGTGGAATGTTATTTCAAAGTTCACTTGGCATTTTTAGATCTTTTACTTTCACAAAAATTCTTGAGGAATACATGTTAAACCCTCCAACTAGAAGTCTGACGGCAATCTAACTGAATTTATAGATTTGCAAAATATTGAGGTTTCTAATGCTAAATTTTCCCATCCAAGAAAATGGATGTCTCTGCCTTTCTTTATCCTCCAATGGGAATTTACATTTTTTCCTATAAACATCATCTTTAAAAAAAAAAAAATGTTTAGACCAGAAAATTTTGTTGCTATTCTAATTGCTATCTTAGTTCACTTCTTCCATCTTTTAATTCACTATTGCTATAAAGAAACGTGGTTGGTTTGTTGTTTGTTTGGATATATACCCAAACGATATATATACTGCATATACCCAAAACATTTGCTAAAATCTTTCTTTAGTTGCAAAACTATTATTTTTTCAGGTAGCTCAGCAGTCGTCAAAGCCCAAAGATTCCCAAGAAGCATACTCAGACCCTCTCAAGAAAAGTCATAGAAGGTCTTAGGAAAAAGTATTTTCATAATACTCAGACCTTGTCTGCCTTTTCTATTTTGACTCTCACAAAGTCAGAGTTTTCCAAAGGTATGACCTCACTGGAAATATGCTTATACAGCTCTATGTTTTAAGCACAGTTTTAATTTTTAAGAATGTAACTACCAATAGATATTATCTATCTAAAGAAATAAATTGGGGGGGTGCTTAATGATTTTTAAGTGCACAAAGGTTGTAACACCAAAATGTTTGCAAACTCCAGTATAAAAAATTCCTCTGATCTGTACATAATTAGTTTCACTCTTCCTACCACAAGAGCCTCACATCTCCATTTCTTTTCTTTATATTAGGAGGTGGCTAGGATAATACCCTTGACCTGTTCCTTATCTTAAAAGAATAATACAGTTTCTCCCTTAAGTTTACCAGAAAGTTAAGTTTAGATATATACTGAATCAAGTTAAAGAAGTTCTCTTCTAGATCTGGCTTTCTATGTAATGTCCTCTAGCCCCCTCAAATACATACATAGGTGTTAAACTTTATCATATAAATTTTCTGCCTCTATTGAGAGAACCATATGGTTTTTCTCCTGTAGTCTTTTAATGTTGTGAGTTACATGGATAGAGTTTCTGATAAGGGGTCGTCTTTACATTCCAAGGAGAAATCCCACTTGTTTAAGAACTGTTGTTTAATATACTGTTGGGTTCAGTTAGCTAATACTGTACATAGAACTTTTACATCGATGTTCATCAGGGAAATGGCTCATTTTTTTTTTTAATTTGTGCTCTCCTTATTTGAATTTGGACATGCTCTGATTCGAAATTTTAAAAGATCCTTCTAGCTGAGCATAAATCCTGAAACAGATCCACTTTTTTTCTTCAGTATGTTTGGTAATATATTAAAATAGAACCAGAATCAAGCAATCCAATCCTTAAATTTTTCTCCTAGTGAGTATCTGGAAAACAGGTGCAGAAATGGATCATTTGAGACACCATAGAAATCTGGTTAATCCTGCCTGCCTGCTTTCCTTCAACAAGTATTGCCTGAGGATGGCTGTGTATTAGGCTCATGGCTGGGGGTGGGGCAAGTACTAGAGAAAAGAACAAAAAAAGTCCCCTTTGCTCGTTTCTGACTAACAAAGGATACATAGTATGAGAAAAGATTTGTATATCATTTGTGCCTATTACTACTGAGAAACCTTTTGCACTTCTTGGTCATATAAGCTAAAACTATTTTTATCCAGTGAATTACTACTCCCTTTTATGCCAAGAATGGTTCCGCCAGACAACACTCATCCCCATTTTACAGAAAAGAGAGCATGGCCAGCCGGGAGGAACAAAATGGAGGACTGAGATTTGCGCCCTGGCCTTGGTGATCCTTTAATCAACTCTGATCCACAGATGACAAAAATTTTTATACACTACTTCTCAAAATGTGATCCACACTCGCTAAAAAACAGACTCTTTATATTTCAGTCTTGATCCCTAACTCAGTCCATGCTACACTCACACTCAAAACCAACTTTAATTCTTTCTGGACTCCCGAGTCAGGTCCCTGAATATAGCTCAAAACCCTCATTCTAGTCCCCAAAAGGGACCTGAGACTCTTGGATCTCGACTCAAAACCATAGGAAGGGATCAAATCCCAACGGAGAATCTGGAGGTAACTGGCAGTTCAACTCTGTTTCCTCACTTGGGTCTAACTAACTAATCCAGCATTTCTCAACCTGTAGGGCTCGGCCCCTTTGGGTCCAATGATCCTTTCACAGGGGTCACCTAAGACCATGGGAAAACACAAATATTTACATTACAATTCATAACCGTAGCAAAATTATAGTTACGAAGTAGCAACAAAAATCATTTTATGGTTGGGGGTCACCACAACATGAGGAACTGTATTAAAGGGTCACAGCATTAGGACGGCCAGGAAACACTGCAACCACTGCGGCCTCCACTGCCAGATCCCATTCCTGAACCACAATGGACTCCACACCTGAATGCTGACTCGCATCTCAACTCAGCTCCAGACTCAGAATCACCCGAATCCCTACTTAACCTCCAGTTGCGACTCTGCTCTGGGCTCGAAACCACCGTAAACCCACCCTCGCCCTCCCCACCCCCCACAAAACTCAGATTCAAGAGTCAGATCTCAATTCAGTTTGGAACTCAGAAATAACCAGCCTCCCCCAGACTCAGCTCCATGATACCCCTCCCTCCAACATGTGAGAGCATCCCAAACGAAGCCCCTCTTTTAAAGACAGTCGCCATCTAGCAAGGCCACCAGACCTTGGCAAGGGCCACGCAGGGCTGCGAAGCTTGAGGTGCATCCAAACGGAGTCAGCCCCAGCTCGAGCGCGTTCAGACTCAGCCTGGGTCTCAGAACCCCACGGCCTGAGCCCGCGTCCCAGGTCACTCACCTTGCGACTCAATTGACCTCGGGACTCAACTGGCCTCAAGGCCACCCCCTGCCTCTGTGGTCAAGATGAAGATGGAATAGCGGCTGCGAAACGACGATGGAACCACGGCCGCGAAACAAAGATGGAGCCGGGGCCGTGAAGCGAAGATGGAGCCGAGGCCACGAAACGAAGATGGAACCGCGGCCGCGAAACGAAGATCGAACCGAGGCCGTGAAACGAAGATGGAACGCGGCCGCGAAACGAAGATCGAACCGAGGCCTGGAACGCGGCCGCGAAACGAAGATGGAGCCGAGGCCGCTAGATGAAGATGGAGCCGCGAAAGCGCGGCACGGCGTCACCTCAGCCTCTGGCCGACGGTAGTTGCCGCGTGGGGGCTACCAGCTCCACCACGTGGACCTGCCACTTGAGCCGTGCCAGGGAACAGCTTGGAGAACCACAAAGCAAGGGAAAGCACGCTGAGGAGAAGAGCGCACTGAGGGAGAACCATGCTGAGGAAAAAGAAGTGCTGAGAACCGAGCTGAGGAGAGAAGCACTCCAGATAGAGCCACGCTGAGGAAAAGAAGCTCCTTGAGGAAAACGCACTGAGAAAGGCCCTGAGGGGACCCGGCTGACAAAAGAATGCTGAGAAAGAAAGGGGAGCACGCCAAGGGAGCCGACCACGCTAAGGGAGCCGACCGCGCTAAGGGAGCCGACCGTGCTAAGGGGAGCCGACCGCACCAAGGCAGCCGACCGCGCTAAGGGGAGCCGACCGCACCAAGGCAGCCGACCGCGCTAAGGGGAGCCGACCGCGCTAAGGGGAGCACGCTAAGGGGAGCCGACCACGCCAAGGGAGCTGACCACGCTAAGGGGAGCCGACCGCGCTAAGGGGAGCCGACCGCGCTAAGGGGAGCCGACCGCGCTAAGGGGAGCCGACCGCGCCAAGGCGAGCCGACCGCGCCAAGGCGAGCCGACCGCGCCAAGGCAGCCGACCGCGCCAAGGGACCCCCCACACACACACTGCTCCAGAGCAATCAGCGCCAGAGTGATCCCCACCAGAGTGATCAAAGCTGAAGGAAATCTCACCAGAGCCATCCGCGCTTAAGCGACCCGAGCTGAGGCAGATCGGACCGTACGGAGGACCACCATGCTGAAACGGATGAGACCTCGCCGCGGAGGTCTGTGCACAGGAGAAACACTGAGGAGGACCACCCAGAGCAAAGCACACCGAGGAGGGCTGGTCAGGACTGAGGCGAACTGCGCTCTAGGAATCCGAGCTGAGGCACATCCAACCGAGTCGAGGATAACCACGCGGGGGCTGATGACGGATACGACCTCACCGTGGAGAACCGTGCTGAGGACGGACGCGCTGAGCAAAACCACGCGGAGAAGAACCACACTGCGGAGGATCACTCTGAGCAAAGCCCACAGAGGCTGACTCGACTGGAACCACGCGGAGGAGAAGCACACTGGAGTAATCCAAAATGAGGCAGACCACACCGGATCTGACTGGACCAAACAGAACCACCACAGGCTCTGTAGAGAAGCACCCTCGGGAAAAACGTGCTGTGCTGCTGCGGCCGCGACTGTTCTGCCTAGCGACCGTGGCCAGGCCACCTACCCAGACCTTGGTGACGTGGAAGCCACGGCACAGTTGATTGGACAGGTGTTGAGTAATGAGGGGAGATTTACCTCACGATTGGCTGAACACAGCTAGCTCCGTGCTGCACATTGTTATTGGCTGAGGGGAAGCAGCCTGATGTTTCCAGGGCTTGGATTGGGTGAGCCTGTCCATACGCTCTACCCTGCTGGGGTCTAAGGAGTATGGTCGCCCTACCCCCACCTGTCCTTCTAGCTGAGCCTGGAGCTCATGCCTCTGAATTGGTGTGAAACCAACCGCAGTGTAGCGCCAAGGCAGATCCCTGAAACAGCCACTGTTTCTGAAAGGTTCCATGACCTAGGATGAGGGGCCTCTGGCCCTGGCCTGACCTTGGAATGCAAAAAGCAATCCACCCTCACCATCCTCTCTGTCTGTCACCCGCATCCTCCTGAGGCCGCCATGTTTTTGTTGTTGTTTTGGATTTATTGTTGTTGTTTGTGGGGTTTTGTTTAGTTGGTTGGTTGGTTTGGTCTGGTTTGGTTTGGTTTTGTCGAGACAAGGTTTCACTGTGTGTAGCCCTGGCTGTCGTGGAACTCACTCTGTAGACCAGGCTGGCCTTGAATTCACAGAGCTACACCTGCCTCTGCCTCCCTGAGTGCTGGGATTAAAGGTGTGCACCACCGCCTGCGGGGATGTTTGTTTTTCTTTGTTATCACCCAGGAAGGTAAGTCCTACTTGTGTGTAGCTGAAATGGAGGGGGCCCTGGGTCTGCCCAGGTCACAAAGCTAGGTAATGATAGACCTGAGATTAGACCCCAGCCACTCTACCTCACTCCAGATTCTCTTGGTTTGGGGTCCTGTCTCTGAAGTGTCCAGGATAGTTCCCACTCTGTCTACTTATTCATGCATCCATCCAGTCCACACAGTCTATGCACTGCCCGTGTGCCAGGTATTGAACTATAACCTGGAGAAACCTGACAAACTAAAGCCAAAATAGCAAATTTGGAGGACATACCACTTGCCTGGATTCGTAAGCAAGGCTGGGGGCAATGTGGACTTCCTGTGCAAATTGTAGTTTTAGCATGTGGGACTCTGAGTGTACTCTCCAAACCACCCCAGAATTGACTTCAAACGAGGGAGCTGAGAGAAGGGGAGGGAGAGCCAGTCCTGTGAGCAGGCCAGGGTGTGGTCATCTAAAGCACGCAGAGGCCATACATCTTAACTGCTTTTGCTGAAAATATACGTCTACAAAAACAGCCAGGAATCTCTCTTGCCAAGGATGACTGACTGACTGGGTGAGGGCTTGGTGGGGTGTTTCTTTTTTTTTGTTTTTCTTTCTTTTCTTTTTCTCCTGCTGTTACTGTTCATCTGGGGAAAAGAGAAAATGGTGTCATGTCCCCAGCATCAGGCAGTTCCTTTCTTACCCCCAGAAGCTGTGCCTAGCTCTACCCTACTTCCTGCCAGGCCACACATCTGCTTTGCCTTTCCCCTTTGGGCCCATTTCGAACATGCTACATTTGATTCAAAGGCCAGTCCTACCCTCATACCTAACTAGTGGTTTTCTTTTCTGCCTATCCCAGAGCAGATGTACAACTAATGCCACCACTCAAGGACCTGCCACCAACTTAAAATTCATCATTTCAGCTTTGAACTTGCATGTTGGAAGTGGAGCTTGGGCTCTTTGGCTGACAAACAGCCCCTTTCATCTGTCTTTGTCACCAAGATAGGTGACCAGCCACCTTCTTCCTGCTTCCTGTCATTGCCAACCTCTCAAATGACCTCTAAGAGGGGCAGCAGGCCCATGTGGGTGAACATGGTTATCATCTTCCTTAGCTGAGATCAGGAGGGGCCTCCACTTTCAGCACCAGAACCCTGTGTGTCTTGTTTCCCACTTGCCTGTTAGAGGTGCTGTTTCTGGCCCACGGAGCAGCTAGGCCAGGCACCAGGAGCATGTGAGGAGGCCATGGGGCTCTGAATTGAAACCCTGCTCTTTGTGACTACAGGCCCCTTTCCAGCTTATCTCTGAGGCCTAGGCCTTTGCCTTCTCTGGCCCAGGAGGCCAGGGATTTTGTTTGGGTCCCCTTCTTTTCAGCCTATTTCTTGCAGGAAAGGTCAGGAGGGTAGGATCCCCAGTTCTTTAGAGAGTATCCACAAGTTTCACCAAAACACAACTCCCAGTAAGAAATACAGGCACATTTTCAAAATGTTATGGATGTTCTTAATCCAAACCAAATGGGTAGACTTCTGCTGCCTAGGGGAGCTATGTCTTGTGGAAGTGCCCTAGTTGATCCTTAAGACCTTACTTGTAGTTTCCCAAAGGTCTTCTATTTTATTCAAATTTGTGAGTGAGCTGGAAAGCAAGGTCACGTAGAGCAATGAGCATCCTCCCAGGAGTCATGAAGCTTGATAGGGATTCTGTCTTGAGAATGGATCTTTTAGGGCTGGAGAGATGGCTCAGCCATTAAAGACTAGGCTCACAACCAAAAATATAAGAGAATGGATTTTTTTTTCCAAGACAGGGTTTCTTAATCTAGCCTTGGCGCTCCTGGAACTAGCTCTGTAGACCAAGCTGGCCTTGAACTCACAGAGATTTGCCTGCCTCTGCCTCCCAAGTGCTAGGATTAAAGATGTATGCTACTACCACTAGGCTGAGAATGGAATTTTTTTTAAATCATAAAAATTGAGTTTATTTGATGTTATATTTAACAAAGTCTGGGTTCTAATTGTGTCTCTGGTCAAGACACACCCCACAAAGATTCATGAATGTCTATTGTCACTTTATAGATCTGGGCCCTCAGTTCTGTCCCTAGTCAGTGCCCTTTTGATGACTGGTAGACACCTCACCATACTTATAAGAAGTCTCCTTGGCTCAGTCTTAGAAATGTGTTAAGCCAAGAAACCTGTCCTTGTCCTTTGGAACATAGGCTCAAGGGCCAAGACCTATGTACCCACACCACCACCTTCCTGCACACGGGGTGCTGTCGATCAACTAGTGCCACCTGTCAGCTTGGGATGCGTGCTATATGCTCCCCAAGCCTGCCTCTCTATTCTTTGGGGGGGGGGGGACTAGAGAGGAATAGAACTTGATACTGAAAGTATTTGTTTTCTCGCTGAGAGACAAGAGACATATAGGTGTTTCTGGAGAGACATGGGAGGACTGGGTAGACTTCAGGCTAGTGTGGAGGGAGATGGGGGCTGCAAGGCAGGCTGAGGCACCAAGGAATTTGGGGAAGAAGGCAGCAGTCATGGCCTTGCTGGGTTGCACTGTAGTCCCTTCCCAGGTCCAGGCTAGCCTAGGTGCTCTGTGACCATGGGTGTCTTCAGGATGTAGTGCGCCTACACTTGGTTACCTTCCAGGGGCTGAGGACTGGAGGGATAAGGATGCATGTGGCCGAGAGCCCAGCACCTGGTGCTTTGTGCTTGGGTTTCCCTGTGACAGAGGCAGGTCTTGTCCTCCTCCTGTATCTGGTTTATGTCATCTGGACATGGTGGGGGCTGGACTCAACGTTCCTTGTGTTCCCTCCAACTCCAACATTTGGGGTTCAAAAGGTTCCCTCACAGGCCTCTGCTCCCAAGAACACGCACGCATACACGCACGCACGCACAGCTGAAGAGAATTAGGCTGCAAACGGCCACTCGGCTTTTCTCTTGATTCCAAGGTATTTAGAGTGGGGGTGGGGGATTAGGGGGAGGAAGTTGCTGAGCTAATTCTTCTGCATTTGCCAGCACAGAAGTGCAGATGGGGCCCAGAGCACCATGGGGTCCCAAGGGAAACACCAGATCTCTTCCACACAGGCAAGGAAGGAAAAACGGCTGAAGTGGGAGCCCCTCACCCAAGCAACAACTCAGCAGGCCCTGGCCAAGGGATTCTGTGGGCCTCAGTTCTCCCCACCCCCATCCCCAGAATCTAAGGAGGGAACCAGCTTCAGGCTCAGCCAGGTTCCCAAGTTATTGCTTTTCTCCAAAGCAGAGAGGCTCAGGACCATGTGGCTGCTTGGTCAGCCCATCTTCTGGGGAAAGGCCTAGCTGTATGTCGTGGTCCAAAGTGAACAATAACTTTGGGTTATCCGTGAGTGGCTGGTGCAAGGCCAGAAAACCCATTCTTAAGGCTAGCCCTTGTGGCCTTGGGTCCACAGTCTCCACAGGCTCTCCTCATGTCCCTGTCAACACTCACACATGTACATGTGGACACACACACCCCACTCTGCTGACCTACGTGAGCGCTCTGTAATCCTCCATTTAGTGGCTTCTTAGCTGACTCTATAGTCCATGTGTTTGCTGTAGAACCTTCCTCCTCCTATGGCCTCTGTGTCTCTTGAGCCTGTATTCCTTCTGGATCTCCCCACCATTCTGTGTCTTTTTGGATTTATTGACACCTCCTCAACCCCACCAGTCCTTAAGGTGCACAGACCTGCTTTTCTCCTACAGATGTTGGCCAATATCCCAGTGACCTCTGACCCCAATGCTCTACATCCCTTCCACAATAAGCAGGCTCTGGACATTCTGGGCCCTGAAGGCACAATGAGCAATTTTTAAGGGGCTCTTGAGAAGGAACTTTTCTAGAAGGATCTCTCTGGCTATCAGATGGAAAGATTGAAGGATGTGTTCAACAGGTTCTGTGGGAGATATGTCTTTCTGCAGTGGGAAAGGAGGGAAGTTTAGAGGAAGGTGGAATCTATGGAAGTGTGAAGGGAGCAGACTAGGAATCTCCTCCTGAAGAGATGGCCTGGATTAGACTCCGTAGCTGAGGTTGGGCCTTCAGCCCATTTGTGATGTTGTAGCAGTGGGCAAGCCTGTAGGAGAGTAAGGGCCAGGTGTCAGAGCTGCATCTTAAGAAAGCCATGGCCAGGGGCTGGAGAGATGGCTCAGCGGTTAAGGGCACTGGCCACTCTCCTAGAGGACATGGGTTTAGGACCTACCTGGTACTTCATAACTATCTGTAACTCCCAATTCCAGGGCATCTGTCACCCTCTTTGGCCCCC